CCAAGGTACGATCTTTTTCTTTCTTTTTTTCTTTTCTGGTGAAATTTCATCAGTTTAAGGGCTTTGATCGGTTTTTTGTTTGTCGTTTTTTGTTGAAAGGAGATGAAAAGGTTCCGGTTTAGATTTCCATCCTTTTTTTCTTTTTTATTATTTCTGATCTAAGTGTTCTTCTCTCCACTTTGTAAATTCTGTCTCCTCATCCATTTAATGTTTTCTAAAAATTTTAAATTTTAAATTTGGCTTTAATTTCAGGAGAGTAGAGTGTTAACTCGATAATTAAAGACTATTCTACGCGTTGGATCAGTATGTGAATTAAGTTTACCTTGAAGACTATTTTTGGGTTTTTTAATCATATTTTGATATGGGTTTTGTTTTTTGATGGTGAAATAGAATTGCGAGGTCAACTTTCAGGTCGAACAATATATATTTTTGGAGGACAGCTTATGTTTATGTTTATGGTTTGTTCTCTACTCCCTTTTTTAGGGATATTTTTATGTTTTTTTTTTGTATATGTGCATTTATTTATATTAGAAATTCCCTATAGATTATAAAAATGAAAGCTCTGTTTTCCTTCAAGTTGATTTATAGGAAAAAATCTATAATAATATAACATTGCAATACCTCTATGCCTATATATTCATGTATATGATTTAATGTTGAAGATATGGCAGTAAGGTGTGATATTTATAAACAAAGAAATATTATGTCAATTGGTGTTCTAAAATTTGCCCTACTTACCTTCTTTGTTTTTTTATATGTGTAAATTTGGTTGGTGTTGTATTCCAAACTGCTCAATTAGATTTGTTAAGGACAGAGATGTAACATTTAGTATGGTCGAATGCGCACCATGGGCAATATAACCTGCTAATATAACGAGAATAATTAGCCGATCTTGGGCTTCTACCTTTAAACAACAGGGTTTCTAACAATTTGACCAATTGTATTGATCTTTTACCGGATATAGTGGAATATTTATGATGTAAGTTTGATTAGGTCAAACTGATTTCGATTTTGTGGAATTTGTTTCTTGGTGAATATTGTTTTTTAAGTTGCTAAATAATCTACAGTCAAAGTATTTTATAACTTTTAACTATAGAATAGTGTGCTCTTTCTGCATTGATGATTTGAGCAGAGACTTTAGACAAGATTTTCACCCAGTCCTTCTATATTAGATGCTCAGTTGTAAGATACTTTAATGTCTTATTTCTCATGATTCATCTACTTCTTATAAACTAAAAGAGAACAACAACAAAATCTGATGAATAGTAAAATAACTGCCTCTATCGCTAATTCTAATCAGCCTATCCCAACCCACGTTCTCCTTGAAAATAAATCTTCGCTTCTTTCTTTAACCGTACACTTTCTTCAAAATCTCCACGTTCTCTCTCTTCCTCTCTCAATATTTCTTCAATATTTCTTTTCTCTCTTCATTCTCTCCTTTGTCTGAATCCCAACTGATCGATTGATCGATCGATGTCGATCGCGTTGGAGCGATTATTTTCTTGTCATTTGATGCGAATCTAGCCCTTTACAAAGTTTAATCACAAAGATTGTGGTAGATTTTCTTACTAAATCTTCAAAATTTTGATTCCGATGTTGGATGGAGTAGAACGACTTTGGTTTTCGTTGTGGATGGGGTTCACAAGCCTTATCCAGGCCACATGACTAAGTGAGGACCTCAGATCTCATCTTTTTATTTCTCGATCTACTTCAGCCTGTGATTTCTATTGTTCAGTTTGAAGTTTTTTGTCACTACTTTTTGCAAATTGTCTCTTGATATTGACTCTATGTGTTGGCCAGTAAGTAGGGAATTTATACTTTGTAGTAGCAGTACTACGGCTTCAGGGTATCTTTCTTACTTGATAAAAATATTAAGTGCATAAACTAATAGAACTAAATCTTAATGCAGGAGCTGGGCATCTAGCCTTCGATAAAGAAACACAAATTTGGACACATAAGATCATTTGTATTTGTGTAAGGTAAAATCAATTTCCCTTGGGAATTGTAATATACATGTTAAATTTTACTGTGTTTTGTTGTACTAATAAGCAAATAAAGACTTTAATGTTGACTATTTAATCACAAATTTACACATCAGGCTTTGTTTTGTTACTACGTATAACTCATGTTAATGAATGTTATTGTTAGAAAAACAAACATAATGATATTTGTACAAATCAAGTACATTTTCTTTATAATTGTCATTACTATTTTCATGTTGTGTATATAAATTTAAATTGAGTGTTATTGAATTATTTACTATGTCAATTCTTATAGTTATAATGACAACTCAAAAATGAAAGTTCTTGATATTTGGGCCCATCTTTAACATCGACAATTTAAAATCTATCACATTCTGACAAAGGAAATGGATGAAGTTAAATTGAAGATAACACTTGAAATAGTTTGTGAAATCTGATATTATTTTACTTCATCATACCAAAGAGTAAATTTAAGATGGAGGAGTTCACAGTAGATCAATAAAATAATAGCTTGATACCCAAATAACGGGGGCCAAACAACTACGCAAACAGGTAGTACACATGGTACGTATGATTTATTTAAGATCTATTTTAGTGTTGTTAAGAAATTCATATGTTTTAGACTTGCACTCTAACTATAATCTAATTTAATAGCACAACGTGATCCTGAAAAAATCTTATCTTTACGATAATTAAAACGAAAGTTAAGAAATTGTGAATTATATAGATTGGATTATGGATTGCATCAACTGAAATCTGCATGCTTCGAGAAGTCTAATGAGTCTGATTTACCAGATGGCTATAGGATGAAAATGTATAAGAGCAAGAGAATAAAAGAAAGCATCAGCAACATAAACGTTGACAGTACATGTGACAGAACTAGCCCAATAATAAAAAGGTATGAATCTTCTTTATTCATTTTTTTTGAATTAGCATTTGTTATATCATGTTGTTATTATGCTTTTTAATGAAGAAATTGTTGACAATTGCAGCTTATCACAATGATATACAGAACTTTGACAAACCAACTATCATTTGTAAGTATTGTCACAATACAATGTGGTATGAAGAAGGCGCAGAGAAATCTTGGAATCCAAAGAAACATTCTTTTTCTATATGTTGCAAGAGGGGAGGATTGAAGTTTCCTCTTCTTAAAGAGTCTCCAACATTTCTGAAAGACTTTATATCTAAAGCATAATACTTTATTTTATTAACATGTTAAGTAGTTGAAGAAAATCTTTTGGAAACCATGCTTTGCACGGGTCTAAATACTAGTTAATTGTTAAACTTATGAGGTAGTCATTAAACTTATTAGTTAGTTGTGAAACTTATTAGATGTTAAACCTATTATTAGTCGTTAAACTTACTAGATTAATAAAATTGAAGTTAATTTTAAACAATTTGAAGACAGAATAATTTTAACAACTAACTTATAAGTTTAACATTTGATTCAAAAATTTAACTAACCCATAATATTAACATCTACCTCAAAAAGTTAATAGTTAACTCATAAGATTTGCAACTAACTTATACATTTAATAACTAACTCATAAATTTAACAACTAACTAATTCAATTTCTATAACTTAAAGTTATAGAAATTGAAGTTGTGAAAATTATTAGTTGGTTGTTAAATCTATAAGATTAATGGAATTGATGTTAATTTTGGATATATAATTTAGAGATATAATAAATTTAGCAGTTGTCTCAAAAGTTTAACAATTAACTTATATGTTTAAAATCTAACTCATAAATTTGCAGACTACCTCATAAGTTTAATAACTAACTAATAAGTTTAACCTTTTGAAAGTGACTGAAATTGCATGCAACCTCTTAAAGAAGGCATAAAACTCCGAAACTTGAAAAATATCAATAACCAAGAAAATTTGTAGAAAACTCCTAAGAAGTTTTACAAATTACAAATAATCTCAAAAAATTATAAAAAACCCCTAAAAGTTCTAGAAATTTCAAACTATCCCTCACAAAATTGTAGAAAGCCACAAAAAGTTCCAAAACTTGAAAATAACCATAAAAATTGCAGAAAAAGCCCCAAAAAGTTTCAAAAGTTGCAAATAACCCCCCAAATTACAAAGAATCCCCTAAAAAGTTTTAGATGTTACAAATAACCTCCTAAATTTTTTTCATAACCCCCCCCCCCCCCAAAAAAAAAAAGGAGGAAAGAGGTTTTTTACTTGGATGTGAAGATTAAAGTAAATGAGTGAGAAAAGGGAGAGGTGGCATGGCATTAAATGAGGGTAAAATTAAGATAAATAAAGGGTTTTGATATGGCAATGTATATTGATACGTTTACTTTATCATTTTTAGGTCTCACTTGTTGACCAAGTCTTGGGGCTTACTCACATTTTATTTATCAATTTTCGATCTAAAAGTATTTTCCTTTCTTTTTTATAAGAAGATGCAGAAAAAGAGGTTTGACGTCACTATAATCTTTCAAAATTCTCATAGGTCCCTCCAGGGCCGGTTCTGAGATTTTGGGGGCCCTGTGCGAAAAGTAAACACATGACCATTCTCTATATACAAAATATCAATAAATTTCAATTTGAATCTCTAAAATTCTGCAAGTGAACTAACAGATAAAATGACAATATTGAAAGGGATGAGTAAAAGGAAATTATGTTCATACCACGCCATTTGCTCACAATTGATGAGGCTGATATTGAAAGGGATGAGTAAAAGGAAATTATGTTCATACCACGCCATTTGCTCACAATTGATGAGGCTGAAATATTGAAAAATGTACATATCAAACATCCAAGAAGAATATCGCACACAGGGCCAGCCCCGAGGTTTGGGTTGCCCTAGCCCAATCCAATTTTGGTTGCCCCTAATTCAACAACTAAGATTCAGCCAAGATTCAAAATCAGGATGATTTTTAACATCACCACCATCAAGAAATGTTGTATTTCTTAAAGAAGGGATACCTCTTGAAAAACACTGCCTGAAATTGTTCCTCCATCATCATCATCAAGAAGGCAAGAACTCGATAGAACAAGGAAGAACCGTGTCAGCTCTCCTCATCTCCCTACATCTTACCTGGAAAAAAAAGGGATTAACAAGAAGGAACATATTTCAACCAAGTTTGACAATACATGGCAGTAAATGCTCAATATGAAAAATAGGAAATTCAGCATAAACGTAGAGAATAATTATATCATGGTGCTTAAGACCAAATTCCATTATTTCTCCATTATGATCCATGAAACAAGTGAAGCACAGCCAGAAAGACTGTTTTAACCAGCCATCTTAGTGTTTCTTCTTCCTGAACAACACAAAACTATGGTTTTCCTAGGTTCCTTAGTTTAGGAAATGCAAGTTCTGTCATATGAATCACTTCATAGCAAATTATACACTGGTTTTTCGGTAGGTAACATGATTCTAGATCCCAGGATAAACAAAATTCCAAAAGGAACCAAGCTAGCAAAGTAGTGTAGATAATCAAACTGACCTCTGGAACAGAAAGAGAAGCATTTTGAAATGGCACCGGCGCATATAGTACAGGAACGTCAACACCCATCAAAGAACTCAGGAAGAACCTTAAGAATAAAAAGGAAAAGAAAAACACTTAGATCCAATGTAAACATGATACGTAGCAAACAGAAAGTAGAAACAACTGTATCACCTGTAATTTAACAGAAAGTCATATAAGCCATGGACAATTTCATTTCCAATAAATGCTAGGAGAGACTGAGGGTTGTTATCCACATCATTCATAGAATCCATTTGTATAGTCTGCAAAGGGAAGAGAATAATCATCAAAGTCAATACTTTGAAAAAAATGCATGGGAAATAAAACAGATAACACAAAATATATATAGTAAAAAAAAGATAGGCTAAAACCTGGCCCAAATTTTGCAAATCCTTCTTTCTTCAACAGATTCGAACCTGCAAATCCAATTACCAGATAGCTACTCAATATACGCTTTCCTCTCCGCCAGCTCCTCTAACTTCAGCAGCATCGCCTTCAGATCCTCACTCGGCAAATCCAATTCCAAATCCAAAAACCCTAATCAAGATCCAATAATAATAACCCAATAAGAACCTCAGAAATCCAAACCGTTACCTTTCCCTCAGCTTAGGGGCCTAGGGCTTGCGAAAACGAATTCGGTGAAGTGGGGTTTGACGGCGAGGGAAACGGGCGGAGGGAGAGAGCTGGAGCCAGAGGATTTGGGTTTCTTTTGAAGGGGGAGAGAGAGAACGAAGATGAGAGAGTGAGAACGAGAGAAAGGAGGGAATCAGAGAATTTTTTTTGGGCGCCCCGGAAATCGGGGGCCCTGTGCGGTCGAACCTTTCGCACACCCTCAGGGCTGGCCATAGGTCCCTCAAATCCTAAGATTCTTGGAAATTGATCCACCAAGTTAAATAACGTTAAATCTGAGGGGAATATACCCTCAACTCTAACATTTTAAGGGAAACTTCGAGTTATATCTCTCAGTTAAATTTAACTAATTTACTTTTTATCGACTAAAACTCACAAACATCATCTTCTCTAACAGCCAAAACTATCCCACAGTCCACAACTCATTTCTTAGTTTCTCTAGTAATCATTTTTGAGCCTCCCAATGGTTCGAAGAGAACTATGATAAGTGGGGGTGTTAGGTTAGGAGTCAATCCAACCATGATTTCAAGATCTAACAGAAAAACTAGCAGAGGGACGGACTTACAAGAGCCCTTAGACCCCGTTGGCAAAGGGTTAAGAAAGATGAATTAAGAAGAAAGATTAACTTAGTTAGCTTATTCGATAATTCGAATGACTAAATTATTAACCCGTTATATAAATTTTTTAACCCTTAAGTTCATTTTTAGTGTTTGAGAATAACGAGAATTTTGACTATTTTCTTTATAATTATAGGGGTTAGTTCTTAATCCTTCTAAATAGGAGTATTAGAGGGGTTAATTCATTTTAATCATTCTAAAAGGGTTAGTTTAACATTTCTACATATTTTGCGTTTGACAAATTATAGAAAATTAACTCACTTTAACCCTTATATAGATTTTTTATATTTAACGGGTTAAGAAGGGGTTAAATCTCTTTAACCTCCTCACTTAACCCTTTGCCAAAAGTCACCTTAAGATTTAGGGGACGCATGTGCAATTCCAAGGATATGAGGTACCAGTACGGAATTTTTGAAGATTCTGCCCAACCGACTTCAACCAAATGGATCCCACCCGAACCCGATCCGCTCCAAACAAAAAAGATCGCAGAAACAAAAGAGGAAACCCTAGAAGACCTCGCAGTCGAAGAACCAGGAGCGAGTAAGCAGCGGCCATGGCGGGCAGCGAGCAGGACGAGTTCTACCTCCGGTACTACGTAGGCCACAAGGGAAAATTCGGCCACGAGTTCTTGGAGTTCGAGTTCAGGCCCGATGGCAAGCTCCGCTACGCCAACAACTCGAACTACAAGAACGACACCATGATCCGCAAGGAGGTCTTCTTGACCCCCGCCGTCCTCCGAGAGTGCCAGCGCATCATCTCCGAGAGCGAGGTTAGGGTTTCCCCCCCTTTCCCCATTTTTCTAGGGTTAGGGTTAGGGTTTCTGAATTGGGTTTTTTTTCCTTCTTTTTTGGGGATTGTAGATAATGAAGGAGGACGATAACAACTGGCCGGAGCCGGATAGGGTTGGGAGGCAGGAGCTGGAGATTGTGATGGGGAACGAGCACATCTCGTTCACGACGTCGAAGATTGGGTCGCTGGTTGATGTGCAGAGCAGCAAGGATCCTGAGGGGCTTCGTATCTTCTATTATCTCGTTCAGGTGAGTTTTAGTTTTTACTTTTATGTGTTCGTTCGTCATTTAGTCATTGAAAGGGGAAATTTTCATGTTTGCCGGTCTAGTTGAATATATGTAACCTTACATGATTGTGTCAGTGAAATGCATTTTACCGCGTACATCTGTTATAGTGAGAACGAACCAGTTCATAGTTAGGTAAATCACAAGTTATAAGGATCCTAATAGGAACTCACATGGGATTATGCTAGATCAGAGTGTATAGATGGAGAATGTACCAGTGGATAGTCCGAATGACAAATTTGGAAGAGGACTTACCAGTATTACCTTGATTTTGGTTGATGGGCTTTCTACCCTCTTTCTTTAACATGCAATTTTGAACCTTCTTCTGAAATGAAGGTTTAAGGGAGTTGAGATTCTCTATTACAAACTTGATTGTAGAGAAACCCTATAGTCAGTTAATGGACCAGTAACATTGGTCCATTCACTAGGCCCTACAACTAAAAGATTATTAATATAGTTTTTGTGAACAATATTATTCATGGGGTTCACTGAGGGTGATAAGTTTTTGGTTAGTTGTAGAGTTTATCTACAATCAAGGATGTAGAGATCTCTACGCTATAATTAGTTGTAAAACTTATATATGAGCTGAAAAGGAGGATATCATCAGAATTACCACACTAGATGACCTATGAGCTTATAGATGTTTCATACTAATTTGGTATGATAGAGATGAGGATTCCATATAAACCCTTTGTGACTTATAACTGAAACTATAGGTAGTGGGGAACCCATGGCAATCATAACCCCCTCCACTCGTGGCAGTTATTTGCCACTAACAAGAGAGCTGCAAGAAGAACTATCTTAATTGGCGGTCTATAAGGTCAGTTCTTCCCTTCAATGAACATCTGAAGGACTGAAATAATACGATGTCATACTTGTGAATTAAAGAGTAATACTTGAGCCAGGAAGATGATTTTCATTTCCTTGTGATAAACGTGAATCCTACCACGATTAGAGTTCAACCCATCGTTTTGGCAGCTCAAGAAGATCCTAGAAGTGCTTCAAAAAAGTAAGTTTTTAGATTGGTAGAATATTTTGTAGAAAATTTTCTCATCTTTTTTCAACATTCTGTGCATAATTTAATAGTTAGTAGTAAAGCATAAATTCATAAAAAAATAACTAATTCAATGTTAAACATACCATGAAATGTAAAAAAATAAATTACTCAAGTTTTGGTTGGGTCAAATTGCAATTAGCTAATCAGTAAGAACATTTGGGTCAGGCTCTAATTTTGTAGTTCTAAGGCTCTATAGTTTTACGAAAAAGAAAAGAAAAAACAATCTACCTGTAATTTTGCTGGATTTGTATGTAATTTTTGCAAAGTTAATAGTTTTATCTAATCTGTAATCCTGCAGAAAGATATCTTTGCTTGTAATGTTCCAAATAAATTTAGGTTTATATGTACTTTTAAGAAGATTTGGGTTGAATTTTTTTTTCATGTATTGTTGCAGATTGTTAGGGGGCTAATCTGTAATTAACAAGTGATCATTTTGTAATTACAGAAACAAGGATCGACTTGCAACATGTCAAATATGTAATCTTCTATCTCTAGGCAGAAAAGTCATTGTTTTATGAACTTTATACCATTACATCTCACTAACTGATTAGCCAAATCATGCAAATTATATATGTATGGGAAGGTCTCACATAGAACTACAATTTATATCACAATATAATCTCAGAAATCAAGGGTTGGAGAGAATTGTAACAAATTTTCTATAATTTAGTATTTATTTTTATTAATAGACTGCCATATAATATTAACACACGCAATTATCACATATTCACATGGCCGGGTCAACCTGGAAAGAGGAAAGATGATCAGGGAGGCGCGGCTGGTGTTCAGCTTAGAACATATCTATTTTTTATTATGCATTTTTCATTTGTTTGGCTCTTATTGTTAGCAACCGTTCATATTAACACGAATACTAGCCTAGGAGGCTCTGATGCCAATATGGATATACGAAACGGCATACTAAAATGTTAGAAACTTAGTATACAGGAAAAAGGGCACCCATTTAAAGCACTTCCAGAATCCTCTGAAATGGCTTGAATTACATGAACTCTGATAGTCAGAGTCCCTTTACCGTAAGGATACGGAAACTCAGCTTCTCAACTCAAGCGTCAGTCTTTAACTCACAAGTAAGACTTATATAGTATTTAATTTCTACACAGATCGTTCAATGAGGATTTTGTTTATATATACTGTCAGGTGAGGTAATTCTTCCTTAGAGAGAACTGCATTTGTAGTTCTCTTGTTAGTGTAAAATAACTGCCACGCGTGGAGGGGGTTCTACCCGTCATGGAAACCCTCACTACTTTTCTAGAATAGCAGCAAGAAGTGTCATCTAATTTTATTTGAGAGATGGTGAGTTTTCTGGATGCTTCATATTTATTTGACTTTTGTTCTATCTGAACCAGTTGAAACTTTCCAATTTATTTTTATCTGGTTCTCTCTTGTGTCACAAGTTGGAAAAGTGGAATGGTCGATTATGCTACTTCCTTTTTGTGTGTGTGTGTGTGCGCGCGTGAAGACGTGACTGTGCGCCGTTTGTGCGTGTTAGGTTGGGATGGGGGAGAGCTTATTAAATTATATTTTCTATGAGAGGGAGAGAAAGTTCAATGCATTTTTATTCTCTATTATCATAAACTTAGCCCCATCTTATCAAATACTCACTCTTCTTGATTTGAGTCGGTGTTGTCTAGTGTGGTATGTGTTGGATTTATTCTTTATTTCTGAATTTTGATTCATGGTCTAAGCCTACGTAATCAAATGAGCTTTTTGGTTTGCTGGAACTGTATGCACTTATTGCATGCAACAAATTGTCAAATCCTTTGATTGGTTTGGTGCAAGGAACATTCATTCTTATCGATTTGGAAGTTCCATTGAGTTCTTTTCTAATTTCATAATTTTGATCCTTGTTCGGTCTTCTTGATTTTGGTTGGTGTGAGAAAGACCTCGTTGTATTATATTTTTGTAATGCCCCTTTGTTCCTTTATACTCCTCTTTTTTCGTCCTAATCATAATTTCTTTGGTTGATGGAGGTGGGAATACTGCAGTGAAGTTTTGGCGTTTGAGGTCTGCTCATGTTCTATGTACTCATGTTCTATGTAATCAAGTTGCATAAACTTTCTACAATGGTATGCAACATCTGTTGCATGTAAAATGATGTTTGCTTGGTTTGCAAGTGGCACTGGCCTCCATGGGTTTGATTACTAGGTTAGGGTTAGGGCCTTAGGGGTTAGGGTTAGGGCCATAGGGGTGGGTGTGAGCCGGGCAGGGCCGTGCCTACTTTCCTAATCCCGGGTCTAGGATTGAACCCAGCCCGACCCACAGTCTGCCTAGGTGCGGGTCGGGTCAGACCTGGCCCACGGCCTGTGGGTCGTGGACCGGCCCATGGGTTTTTCATCCAAATTTCCCCTATTATTTTTATCTTTTTAACTATATAAAACTTGTATTTACAATTATAAACTTATCTCTAATTTATTTTTTAGTAATTTAAACTTATATTGAACTATTTTTAAACATGTATTAAACTTTTTAACCCTTTCAACTAGACAACATCGAGCTTAAAGATCGTTGCATTGTTTCTCAATGGGCCAAAAGGTCCACGAGTCAAAGTCCTATGGCATTTTGGTTTTGTTGGCAACTACCTGCAGACCCAAAGGGCTAAAGAAATAGCTAGACTAACCAAAAAATATATCATAGGCTGGGGCGGGAGTGGGCATGGCCTACTTCTCTGACCTTGGGTCTAGGGGGCTTAACCCGGCTTGGCTACGTGTCTCGGGTATATCATAGGGGGTCAGCTAGCGGGTCAACCCGGCCCACGCCCAACCCTAGTTAAGGTGTGTTAATGGTAGTTCAGGAATTAGAAATAATCAGTTACGTGAAATATCTTAATTTGATATATTAGATTTTGTATCTGTTGCTTCTCTCTTGATTGCATTCAATGTTATTAAGGGCGCTCTCGGGTGCAAAGCACTTTGGTGTCAGGGAGCGCCCCACATCAGATGGGGGGCGCTTCGCTTGCGGAAGGCGTGCTCCTGAAAGCGCCCCACACGCACCTTGCACATCAAGTGAGGTGTGCATCTTCGTAAACTCTTGAAAAAGATCAGTTTAGTGGGTTATCAGGTATGGAAACCTAATTCCCACTTAAACCCAAACTGTAAAACCCACTACCACTCAAGAAATACCTGATATCCTCCTCTTTAGTAAGCGAAACATAAAAGCCCTAAGTCTCTTCTTCTTCGATCTCCTGGTGGGATCTCGGCGACTGGCGAGTAGGGGTTGGAGAGGCTCATGGCTGAGGTAACTTCCTTTCCTTTTTTTCCCTTCTTTGAGTCCTTTCCCTTTTTTCCTTTCCTTTCCCCCCTAATGCTGTTGCTGGTTGCTTTTCTTTACTTTCCTCTTTTACCCCCCAGTGCCTTTATCTGTAGATTTTACTTGTGTTAATCTATATTTGAGAGTACTTAGGCTAATAGTTTAGTTTTTGTTGTAATGCATGAATTAGAGTATGAGGCATTAAGGCTAGTAGCTTCCTTTTTAGCACTTTGTTACTCCATATGGACTTATATTATGAGTAATGATTGTTGTTTTTGTGTCCTTTTCTAATAATTAAAACTTTATTCTGTGGTTTGATAGTAGATATTACCTATCTTGAATCCTTGACATCTCTTTTGTGTGGAATTTCATGAACATGGTCCTTCATGAGTGTTTGTACATCTTGAAATTTTATGTGTGTGGAGTGCGCCTTGCTCCACTCGGGCGTGTGCATTGCATGGCGCCTTGCGCATGTGTGCATAAACCGAGTTTACACCTCACATTGCACTTTGTGCATTGATAAGAGTGATTGCAAGACCAGTTTTAATTCTTACTGTCACGCACCTCAAAAACATTAGGTTCCAAAATTCTTCTGTTGCTCCTTCTGCATGTTCAATTCATCTAATCAAAAAGCTTCCAAGTAATTGAGCTTCATCTATTCAGTGATGCTTTTTATCAGACTGGGAGTCAATCAGTATACTTACGGTACACGTTCAGGGCAGATCAAGATATGGAGGGATGTTTGATGATTTCTTAAACTTTACTAATTAGATATATTCAATGTGCCTCTAAGGCATTTTATACATCAGGTGTCATTGAAACTACTTCAGGGTTCATCTTATGAATGTAGTTTTTCTTGTTTTAGATTGAGTACGGAACCATTGCATATGCTGTGAGAATATTATCTAATCCCAAGAAGCCTATAATCATTCCTCAATATTTGTCTTGAGGAAGTTTTTCTAGAATCTCGTATCATCAACTGGAGCTCCCAAGAAATTGCTCAAAATGATGATCTGGTAATGCTAGGATATCTGGTTGGGGAATGAAATCAAGCTCCAAATGGAAGTACACCATCAAGATCATTTACTTTTCCAACTTTGTATGGTTCTCTAATTTCGTATTTTGTAGAATGATTTAGTTGCATACTGCTTAATGGTGATGGTTACATTCTTTGCAAGCTTTCTTATTACATGCTCATATTTTCAATAACTTTTCTGTCATTTATTGTTTCTGGAACAACTCAATATCGCCCTATCCATTTTATAAATCTTGACATGGTAGAAATATCTGTGAACTCAACCTCTTCATGGAGTCCTATATCAATTTGTGTAAAATGTTGTTGTGCACCTCTTCATAAGCATGTGCGTTCATTAGGGCAGGTCAAAGATGCTTGAGAGCATAATAGTTCAAATTGAGTCATCTAGGGCACTACAAGACCATGTTTGTGAATCACAAGTTAGTTTTGAAGTTTTCAACTTCCTGTGATTGATGTCAATTGCCACGTTTCTAGCGGAGAGAAGTACATGAACAAGAAGAGCTTGTGGTTAGTCTAGAAAGCTACTGGCTGATAGCTTATCTTATCCTTGTTTTTTCCCCATATTTTAAGTATTTATCTTATCCTTATTTATCGTATCCTTCTTGTTGATTTGAATAAGCGCAATAGGGCAGAGCAACATGAAGTACAATAACTGATACTAGCTGGTCACGCAATTGCTACATCACATGATGTTTTGAAACAACTTATTTTGCTCGATGCAATACACAATAACTACATAATAATAAATCTAACATCTTCTAAGTAACTTAACCTGTTATTAAGATATTTTGTCATCAAATCAAACCTAGAACACAGAATAAAGTAATTATAACTATTATTTGTGGTGGATATGTGGAAGATTTAATAAAAGAAACATTTTCTGGTTAAAAAGTGGCCTCCACCTTTTTCACTTTCACATGACTTCTGCACTTTTTTAGGAAAAGTTAAAAATGCATTAAAGCTGTTGTGGCATATTTTTTACATTTCACTTTCTCATGCATTTTCTATGAAACAAACACCTAAAGTGAAAAATGTGTGTTACTTCACACTTTCAGTTTTCCCTTTCAGGTAAACAAACACGCCCTTAATGTTACATGAGAATTGATGACTTTGTTCACAGACGAGGGTTTGATCGGATTGATCAAATTCCTTACGAGTAAATTTAGTTATCTTGTATGTGTTAGATCTATTATGTAGTTATGGCATTTCATCGATCCAAATGAGTCGTTTCAGAATATCAAAGTAATAATGTAGCAATTGTTTGACCAGATAGTATAAAGTTATTTATATTTTATGTTGCTCTACCCTATTGCGCTTATGCAGATCTCCTCTACTTGTATGTCACAGAGGTGCGAAGTATCAGTAAAGTTGCCATGTGTACTTGCTACCTTTTTGGCATCCATGTACCAACGTTCTTATCAGCTCTATAAGTGTGATTGCAAACTTGTTAACTAGGTATCGTTGATGTTGTGGCTTTGGTTTTAAGCTGTTTGGATGTCAATGATAATTTATGACTTAAGCTTTTGATTGGTTATTTATCCGTGTGGAAGATTTTGTAGTACATGCTGGAACCAACGCCCATCTTTTCTATATGTCAAATGTCATGTTGCAAGTGACCCCATTTGATTGTTTTCTTTTGATTAAGATGTATGCCTTATATGCTAGTGCTTATATGTTAGTGTCAGACCTTGCTACATGATTATATATTTTCTTATTAAGATATCTGTTCTATTTTTTGTGCTTATAAGTTTGCTTCAACTTCATTATGGATGCAGGATTTGAAATGCTTTGTTTTCTCTCTCATCTCGCTCCATTTCAAGATCAAGCCTATCCAGTCGTAGATTATTGTTCGCTTTTATTTTCAGCAGAACTATGGTGAGCTCGGGTAGAGAAGTATGCACATTTTGACTGAGGATGTCATTTCGTAAATTCAGTGAACGATTGACTGTTTCTTGATTGGTTTTGTTCATGATTGTGTGCGGGTATCTTAGGCATGTTCAATGGATTTCTCTGTTGCAAATTACCAACTTTGAAGATGCTTGTTTGTCCATACTGCAATACTGAGTTGCTTGCTTTCAGCTGTTGGTTTTGTGACTGGCTGTTGCTACGATGACTTTTTTACCTATGGTGCTGTGCAATGGAGTCTTCTATACTGCAATACTGGGTTGCTTGCTTTCAGCTGTTGGTTTCGTGACTGGCTGTTGCTACAATGACTTTTTTTTTTACCTATGGTGCTGTGTCAATGGATTTTTCTTTGTGTTCTGTGTTTTTGAAGGCAGTAACTTATGCTATATTATACTTAAATGCTTCTGTTGTTATTGTAGTCTTCACTTTGGACGACTGGTAACAAAATCGTTGAAGTGCATGTTGCTCGTGTGTTGATGTTTATCTTGGCTCGCCATTTTTTCTTGTTTCAAGAGGTTTTGGCGGTAGTGCAGATTGTCAAATTTCACGTTGTGACACCTTAATATAAATTTATTACCGCATTCTGTTAGCACGAGTCAGAACTTCAAATTTTGTAGATGCGATCTACACGGGTTGAAATCAACAAAATTAAGGTGTACTGTACAGATAAAATTGATGGGATTGCTACTGAGAAGAAGCATTAGTCAATAAAAGTTGATCTTAAACATCAGGCCATGGTTGTTTGCGGAGAAAGTTGCTATTTCCATTGTTATCGAATCTATTACAACTTTAGTCGTTACAATAAACTCGAATGAAATAAAAAGTTGATCTTTTTTATAAGATCTCCTTACACAATGAAAATAAAAAAAAGTTTACAACTTTATCAAACAAACTCAGAGATCGTTCATCGGTCTTCTGCTTGCGTGGGATCTTTGCCTGTGCCGGGGTTTATCCGTGGACCACCTATGGTGCTGTGTCAATGGATTTTTCTTTGTGTTCTGTGTTTTTGAAGGCAGTAACTTATGCTATATTATACTTAAATGCTTCTGTTGTTATTGTAGTCTTCACTTTGGACGACTGGTAACAAAATCGTTGAAGTGCATGTTGCTCGTGTGTTGATGTTTATCTTGGCTCGCCATTTTTTCTTGTTTCAAGAGGTTTTGGCGGTAGTGCAGATTGTCAAATTTCACGTTGTGACACCTTAATATAAATTTATTACCGCATTCTGTTAGCACGAGTCAGAACTTCAAATTTTGTAGATGCGATCTACACGGGTTGAAATCAACAAAATTAAGGTGTACTGTACAGATAAAATTGATGGGATTGCTACTGAGAAGAAGCATTAGTCAATAAAAGTTGATCTTAAACATCAGGCCATGGTTGTTTGCGGAGAAAGTTGCTATTTCCATTGTTATCGAATCTATTACAACTTTAGTCGTTACAATAAACTCGAATGAAATAAAAAGTTGATCTTTTTTATAAGATCTCCTTACACAATGAAAATAAAAAAAAGTTTACAACTTTATCAAACAAACTCAGAGATCGTTCATCGGTCTTCTGCTTGCGTGGGATCTTTGCCTGTGCCGGGGTTTATCCGTGGACCACCGTCGATCAGATCTGATTGCTGAAACATTGGGCAGAGCTTCGTCTATCCGCGAAGGGATCGAGAAAACTGTAGCGCCTATCTCGATAAAAGCGAGATATTTGCTCTTCTTAGTATTACCACAACGGGATAATACTAAGGATTGGGTGCGGGTGATGTAGATCTGACGAAGAACTCTCTTGCATTGAAGAACTAGATCCGATCTCTCCTCATCCTCTCTTGAAATCTGTGCACTTTAACTCTTCAATCCGGCAGGGCTTCGCCGAGGCACGAGAATTCCAGCTCTGAAAAAAATGAGGCCTAAGGCTTGTATTTATAAGCATGAGGGGTATTGGAGCGGTTAAAACCACTTAAAGGGGTCAAATCCGCGCTGAGACACCCTAGGGGTGTCTTGGCCTGGCCGAGACACCCCCGAGGTGTCTCGGCCTGGCCGAGACACCCTTGGGGTGTCTCGGCCTGGCCGAGACACCGTAGGTGCCTCAGTTCAGCTTTGAGACGTTTTCAATGCCCGTTTGACTGTTTTCGCTGTAACTTCTTTGTCTGAACTCGGATCTGAGTGATTCCAAATGCGTTGGAAAGCCGACAAGGAGTTCTATCAGCTCCAATGGTTGGATTATCTGTAGAATGAATGAGACACGAAGGGCATTGTTCCCTTTGTAAACATTGCGGGGCTCCCGATTAGCCCGGGTCTTTGTTGTTCCGAAATCCTGTCAGCTCACGTAGTTCGTCGATTCACTTCAAGCATTTACCGATGTCAATCGAACTCCTATGAACCGGATAGTGACGTTCATCATCGTTCCTTAACACTGAGCTGTTCATGGAGACCTATAGGTAATTTTCGATGCCTACAGATATCCACTCCAAAGCATTCCGGACTCGTTTCTTTTATAGAAGAGGCTGGAATACTTTGGATGTGATTGGTCTAGCCTTCAGTCGGCGTAAGGACCTGTAGTTAGCTTCAACTCTTGGCTCCTTCGATTTTCGGTGTATTCGATGCTTTGACGAACAACCAAAGTTCTTCCGGCGCTGCGTTTATCGCCTGGCCGTCGTCGGAGTCTCGAGTTTACAGCTGATGAATTGAGTTTGGCTCGTGTCATTGACTTTGAACTGACTATCTCTGTCACGTTGCGTTGACTTAGGGTTTTAGATCACCGTATGTTGACTTTTTGTCGCAACGCGTTGACTGGCGTTGACCTAGGGTTACGCGTTGACCGGCGTTGACCCTAGGGTTTCGAGCGTCGAATGTTGACTTTTTGTCGCAACGCGTTGACTGCCGTTGACCTAGGGTTACGCGTTGACCGGCGTTGACCCTAGGGTTTCGAACATCGAATGTTAACTTTTTGTCGCAACGTGTTGACTGGCGTTGACCTAGGGTTACGCGTTGACCGGCGTCGAATGTTGACTTTTTGTCGCAACGCGTTGACTGGCGTTGACCTAGGGTTACGCGTTGACCGGCGTTGACCCTAGGGTTTCGAACGTCGAACGTTGACACAGTTTATACTCGTACGTTTACTGGAGTATACACAGTTTAAGCTCTTAAGGTATTGGAGCATGGTGGTCCTAAGTGTCGGGGTTGCAGGACCAACTGTTAAAGCTGATTCATCTGCATTTGTGGATCTTATTTTAATGTTGTTGGATAATCGAGTCACGAGACCAACTAACAGAGCCGATGCATCAATAACTCGCACTTATAGAATTTTTGGCAAATTCTCAGCCATCAACGGGTTTGATGAGCCTTTACCGATTACCGTTTGAATCGGGCTAGCATGCAGATTGTCTAAATCCGTTCCGCATGTAACTTTGTGCTAAGAGAGTGAATTCTCTAAGACTTTGTGCTACGACTTCGAATACGTAGACTTCGCCATTGTTACGGGAATAGGCTACCCGGCAACGCGTGTTAAGCGATGACTTATCCTTACTTAGGATTCAGGATAAAAGTCCCCAGACTCGGATTCTGGTGTCTTCTTCAATCGGTAAAAGACTAAACCGGCAATGCGTGTTAGACATAGACTTTGGGATTTTTGGCAAACCCCCAACCATCAACGGGTTTGACGTGCCTTTACCGATTACCGTTTGAATCGGGCTAGCATGTGAATTATTAAAACCCGTTTCACGTGTAACGTTGTGTTAAGAGAGTTGCTTCTTTTAGACTTAGTGCTATGATTTTGAATACATAGACTTCGCCATTTCTTACGGGAATATGGCATCCGGCAACGCGTATTAGGCGTTGACTCATTCCTACTTAGGATTCGGGATGAAAGTCCCCAGAATTGTACTCTGGTGTCTTTTTCAATCGGTGAAAGACTAAACCGGCAACGCGTGTTAGGCGTAGGCTTATCTCTATTTAGGAGTTGAGATAAAATTCCCCGTGCACAAAGTGTCCGAATTGGAAGTTGAAAATTGTGTCTTTTCTAAGAACAAAGACAGACTGAAAAATGGAAGAGGAAGAATTTTATATTCTATCTCCCGGTACTGAAGAGGAAGAATTTTATATTCTATCTACAGTAGGAAAGGAAACTCAAGGTGGGATCTCCACCCCCAGAATCCGAAAAGATGAAACTAAGAGTGAGATCTCCACTCCGAGAATCAGAAAAGTTCAAACGGCCCTAACTTTTATAGGATTGGTCACTTGAACCCAAAGAATCCCTCATTTATTGTATAGGTTTGACCAAGGAAGCAGTGGAAGTGGGAGGTTTGAGATGATCTTACCTTTTACAGGCTTGATCGTTCAATTTGAAAGTGGACCTCTCGTTCATGGAAGGAATCGAGAGGGGACTTTGGTTGTGGTCCTAACTATAGGAAGGTTTGACCAGGTAGACAATGAGAGTGGGGGTACAAATCATAGTGGGGGTTTAGTGTTTATCACCTTGTTCGTAATTATCGGGTTATCCCTAAGAAAATTACATATAGCGTTCTTCTGGGAACTTCCCATTACATGAATCATCCACCCCCAGCTTCTTTCTTGGAACTGGGTCTGACTTTGTACTCTGTTACATGTCCGGGTTATCCTTAAGAATACTAGCGTAACATTCTCCAGGAACTTCCCATCAACGGTAGGAAACAGTTTAGACTCATATACCTATTGGAGTATCAAGGAGCAGTTTATACTCGTATACTCCTCGGAGTATTGAGAAGCAGTTTATACTCGTATACTCTTCGGAATGTTGAGAAGCAGTTTATACTCGTATACTCTTTGGAGTATTGAGAAGCAGTTTATACTCGTATACTCTTCGGAGTGTTGCCGTTCTTATTTGGCTTATCCTAGCGTTATGACGCCGGCTTCAACCAAGGTTTGGATGCTATTCTTTAAAGTAAAGCAAGCCTTGGTGGGATGAAGGATCCTCCTGTGGTACGCGCAGTACTTCGGATCCGTAGTATTGTCAGCTTCCTCCTGATTCGTGATGGGCGGTAGCTTGATCTTGTTGCTTTCAAGAAGGGTCTCGAAGATGGCTAGAACGTCTTCGTCCTTGAATGAGTACTCTTTTTGGAGCCTATGATCCGAACTATTCTGCTGTCTTCGGGACTGTTGTTGTGACGTCTGATTAACGTCAACAACTGTTGTTGGTGTCTTTCCTTCATTATGGGAAACGAGACCCGGATTCAGAGGATTAGTCATCGGTTGGCATCTTTCAACCTTCCTCCTCCTAAGGAATCGTTCGGCCTGCGCGCCTTCAACTCTCTCCAGGTATTGAGTGGCTCTACTCCCATAACGTCCAAGATGTTAATGGACAAGTTGTTATGACAGGTTTGTAAGACGAATTCCTCCGTGACGGGATCCTTGCAGTTTATTGCCTGATTGCGAAAGCGTTTGATGAAGGTA